CTCCTGTGTTATTTCACTTCCCAGCTCCAGCGCTCCCTCCCCGTTCTGTTATCTTCAAATATCTGCCTGCGGAATCACAGCCCAGGACTCTTCTGTGCTCCTGTGTGTTAGGGTCCGTGATCAAAGGAACGAGACTGATACAAAGCGAAGGTCAAGCAAAGCTTTATTTAATGCCAAGCATCAAGAATCAAACTGACTGGTCAGGGCCATCTCTTATGAAAAGGTGACGACAACAACCCCGGCAAGGCCTCTCCCAATGTGGCCACTCTGGACGAGGCTGCTCCCCAGACAGGGCTGCTCCCTGGACAGGGGCTGCTCCAGTGAGGCCGCTCCCTGAGGCCACAGCTCGGGGTGGCGGGACCGCTGGCGGCGAGGCCGTTGGTGGCTCTCATGGCTCTGACAGCTCTGACAAGAGCTCCGTCAGCTCTGACAGCTCTTACAAGAGCTCTGACAGCTCTTACAGCTCTGACGGCTCTGATGGCTCTTACAAGAGCTCTGCCAGCTCTGACAGCTCTTACAAGAGCTCTGACAGCTCTTACAAGAGCTCTGCCAGCTCTGCCAGCTCTGACAAGAGCTCTGACAAGAGCTCTGACAGCTCTTACAGCTCTGACGGCTCTGACGGCTCTTATAAGAGCTCTGACAGCTCTCCCAGCTCTGACGACTCTCCTACTCCTCCGACGACTCTTCTACTCCTCCGAGGACTCTTCTACTCCTCCAACAACTCTTCTACTCCTCCCCAGCCTCAGCCTGGCAGATTAACCTTTATAGGGGTGGTTGAGCCCCGCCCACACACAGGTGGCCAATGGGATCTCACCTCAGTAAATATATGCGCACCCCTCTGATTGGATGTCTTCACCTGGCCTGACTCACCCTTGTATCTAGGCTTTGCAAGTAAGTTCCTCTGGGAGGGGCAGGGTCAATCTAAGTTCACTGCATAGGGTCAATCTAAGTTCACTGCAACAAAATGGCTCCCTCTGGCCAACCAGGCCCTTACACTGTGTTATTTCACTTCCCAGCTCCAGCGCTCCCTCCCTGTTCTGTTTATCTTCAGATATCTGCCTACAGAATCACAGCTCCCACTTCATACCTTGAAACCAGCCGCCATAGATATTCTGTTGGTATAGATCCTGATATATCTTCTTACATCTCAGGCTGATTTCATGGGTGTTCAGAGTGGTCTGGCAGATATCCAGCTCATTACAGGGGAATGGTTGAAATAAGGTCCTCTACTCTCCACCATCTTGATGGACCCTCAATAAGTAAATTTTATAGGAAAGATTCCAGTGGCACTTGCCATGCTTTTGTGAGGAGAAAATGGTTTTCTCCTCACAACTCCTTCGAAGATATTGCTCTGACACAAGCCAGGGTGGAAATAGGGGAAACTCTGCTTTTCCTTCTTAATAAATCCCTCCTCTGTCATTTGGACCTCATACAATTATTCTACAAATTAATTTCAAAACTGCAACTGAAAGATTCATGAAGAGAAATTCAACTTATGATACAATTTTATTCATATCTTAGAAAATGTCTCTCTCCTCAGAGCTACAATGAGGCCTGAAAGCAGTTGTGGTCTCCACACAGGGTCAGCACCAATGGCTGTGAGTCCATGTGGGTCAGACCTCAGCTAAGGGTCATACCTGCCTGGTGCAGGTGGTTTGGTACAGTGGGAGGACAGTGATGCCAGGAGAAATTCTCCAGGTGGGACCTAGGTCGTGTCTGCACTTCTTTCACATTTTTTTAAAGTATGTGGGAAGGTCCTGAGGCAGAAGGGGGTCTGGTCCACAATTCACAAAGCCTCAAGCTGCCCTTCAGGATATAGGGACACCTCATCCAGGAAACCAGAGATATCCAGGCTACCTGTACCCAAGGAGAAGAGGGATTCCCTCAGTACTGTGCTGAGACAGCTCTATCTCCTCCTGAGTGACAAGTGGTTACATCTGGGGTCCAAGTGACATGTAATGACATCCCAAATCTTTACTCTCAATCACAAAATTCAACAACAGACCGCATGTCGGGACAGCCCCCCACTCTGCCACTATTCAGTAGGATAAACACAGACTGGAGGACAGAGAACCTGCTAGAGTCTTCCACCCTTTAGGGGTGAGGGCAGCAACAGGGAGGGCATCTGATCCAAAGGCCTGAGTGGCCATTGCTCAGAGGGCAGGTTAGGAGAGCCAGGCCATAGAGGAGGGTTTGCGTCCCCCTGCACATCCTTCTTTGTCACTGTGAGTCACTTTCAGGCACTCCCACTATGAGGATAGGTCATGCAACAATGGGCAGCCCTGTCCTGGCCCTTGTGGTCCTGGTCATGCTCTGGTGGGTCATGTCCTTAAGTTGCATCCTCATAATCAGAGCTTGTTGGTCACTCACATCTGTATATTTAACTAGTTTATGGACCTGGCTTGGCTTCTGCTGGTACCAAGATTCAAGTTCTGCCTGAGCTCATCTCCAGAGCAGGGGATCCTGGGCCTGCCCAGGGCCACTGACATGGATAGAGGTGGCCTCAGGTCAGTGGAGGTTTGGAACTTATAAGAGAGGAGGAGGGAGGAAACTGGAGGAAGATAGGGAGGCTGATTCAGTAGTGACTGGCCCAGCCCTGAGGTGAGGGAGCAATGTGACATGGTGAGTTCACAGACCCTATATGGTAAGGGAGAAGGGCACCTGTGCCTCACACTTTGCCTCCCTGTGGGGTCTCTTGCCTGTGGTGGGTGCAGCAGGGAAGTAGAATGAAGAGGCTACTCACCGTGTGGTCCTCGGAAGACTAGCTTCAGAGGCTCATGCATATGTAAATGCCTGGGTCCCACCCAGAGCTGCATCTGCATCTTGGAGACCCCCTCCTCCCCTGAGGACTGTGTGTTTACTGAGCTTCACAGGCTGGGGTTATAGGCCACTGTAGAAAGTCTCACTTCCTCTCCTTGTCTTCCCAGGCCCTACCAGGCCACCTGGTTCTTGGGGCTTAACGGTCTCACTCTGGTCCCAGAGCTTGATTCAGATTCTAGACCCCATAATCATGTGTAAAAATAGTTTAAGAATAGACTTTTTCATCAGCCACATGGGGTGTGTGTTGTGGATGGAGTGTTGCCCCAGTGAGATATTGACCACACTGCTCTGGTGCATGTGAGGACACCATACCCCTCACCCCCCCCATGTCTTCCTGGCACTGAATCACCAGGAAAAGTAAGGGGGCACTGGCTAGGGGAATCCTAATGTCTATCATGGGACAACTGAGTATCTACAACACAAATGGGATAAGCAGATGTATGCATGGATTCAGCAGATCCCCAAATACTCCCTGGCACTGTGATTACAGTCATAAATTCGCCACAATCCAATGCAGTGGGTCTGATAATGGACCCACCTTCCAGAATAAAGGCTTGGTTTTCCCAACTGGCAGGGTTCATGACTAGCTCAGGAATTTGCTGTGAGCAAGGGGACAAGGGGTCTTGAAGAAGGAAATTAGAGACATCACTCTGACCACAGGGTAGTGACAGAAATGAGGAGAATAGAAGTAACAAGTGTTTCTCCCTTTTGTTGACATGAATAAGTTGAAATCCATATTAAGTATACGTTTCTCTTTCGTTCACCTGTGTCATCCCATTGTCATCTATCATTAGATGTGTTTACACTAGCTAACTCTATCAATATTGAAGTTATGGGATATCAAATAAGCTGGGACAAAAATAAATGAAAATCACTAGTGGAAAAACATGTATTTGAATCCTCTTGTGAGGAAAGGGTGAGCATGTTTGTAATTGTTGATTGGATAGTTTTATCATATTAGGTGGAAACATGGCTGCCAACATTCTTTATACTTGGAGACTGGTTTGTGTGGATCCGGATGTATGTCATGTGGACAGGGGGTACTGTGGTGGTTTATTAAGTGTCAGCATTGACAAACTGACTTGTATTTCACAAAATTCTTTTCTGTCTACATTTCTGGGTAGAGCGTGTGTAAAAATAAATTTGTGGGCACAATTTGGGGGGTAGATGTGAGGCTTAACCCATTTTGTGTCTCACTCCCATGGTTGTGTATCTTCTGGCCAGTTCATTGGACGAGACAACTCTCCCAATGTCCCTCATTCACCATCAGTATGAACGTTTCTTTCCAACTGTCTGTCAGGACCAGATCCCTCGTGTGCCTGCCTCTCTTCTCATTGTAAAAAAAAAAAAAAAAATACCTGTAACAATGCCATCTGTGTTGGGATTGGACATGCCCATTGGGGATTTGTTGGAGAAACCAGAGCTCTGTGTCTAATAGTGTCCCCCAGAGGTCCCTGAGGACCACATCAGTGACATAGTCCAATCTGCATTGGATTCCAGAAGGCATACTCTGAGGTGGAGAATTGTATGTGTAGGAAATGTAGGAGCAGGAGGGAAGTCAGACTAGGCAAAGGAACAGTTACCCATGCAAAGTGAGATATCAATGAGGACTCATTCCTGCATGTAGGCCTTTAACCTTGGACCTTTCAGGATATCTGCCTGGGGATAGAACTTGGGACCTTAGATTCGGGCCACCATTCAACACAATCTCTATGAGAAGGAGCAGAAACTTGGGGAGTGTGTTTTCTGATCTAAGAGTACTTCCCAGTGAGGAGCACCCCCTGTGAGTTTTCATGGCCTCTGGCCAGAGATGGTGGCATGTGTGAGCCTAGAAGAGGGGTGACCACTGTGGGTAATACAATGGTCTGCTGCACTTAGAATCCCCAACCGCCATGGTGACAGGGCTACAAGAGCTCAGCTGAGCTGGAAGATTCAGGACTCTAGGTCTGGGCAGTCGGGTGAAGGAGTGGTCTATGACCACCATATGGGAATGGGAAAAAGTGACCAGTATATGGATGTTTCATTCTGTTTGTCCTTGCAACCAATGCCTCTGTTTCCAAATATACTCAGGTCCAGACAATCTCAGGAGGCCCAAATCTAACCTGATACACCCTCTGCAGGCACTGCTGGAAGTGTGGGTGTCCAAGGAGGCTGGGGGAGGTTGGATTTGGGGACTTGAGTCAGGCCTTCTCATTGCTTTGTGCACAGGCCTCTGGGGTTGGATGAGAGTGAGACACAGATGGGGAAGGGGTTTTTGTCTCACTTCCCCGTCTGCTTCTGTCACTGTGAGTATTACCACTGCTATCATAGGACTGACAGTAATAGTCAGCCTCATCCTCGGCCTGGGCCCCACTGATGGTTAGGGTGGCAGTGTTCCCAGAGTTGGTGCCTGAGAATCGCTCAGGGATCCCTGAGGGCCGGCTGCTGCTAAAATAGATGATCAGCACAGGACTCTGGCCTGACTTCTGCTGGTACCAGTAAACATTTTTATTTCCAATGTTTTTTCCCCCACAGGTGACCTGGGCTGTCTGTCCCAGGGCCACTGACACAGATGGAGGCTGAGTCAGCACATAGGAAGCCAAAGAAGCTGTAAGAGAGAAATGGAGAGTTAGGTTTCCAGCTCTGGGTCTCATCCAAGAACACCATCACCTGTCTGGCCTGAACCCCAGGGATTCTCACTGTCCGGTTGCCACCCTCCCAGCATCTCAGCTCCTGAAGCCCATGGTTCTGACTGGTGAGTGGATTCTTTGCCCAAAGGAGATCATCCTCAGTTTTCTCTGGGCATGTCAGAGCCAGTGAACACACAGGGGAATGACACCCCTCCAGTCTCTCATCCTCAGCAGGGTCATGTTCATCCTCCCCTCGACAAGCAGCTCCCTGCTGAGCTCAGAGTCAGGGCCTAGAATGCTCCAGATCCCTAGGCCTGCAGAGGGTCTGAGCCTGGGTATAGCACCTGTGAAGTGAGCAAGAGGGCCTAGGAGGAGAGGTGTCCAGGCCATGGTGGAGGTGACCTGATTCTGCTCCCCAAGTGCTGTGGCTGGAATGGATTCATTCCAGGGATCTCTTATGCCCCTGCAGAGGGACAGGATGGTCATGCAAATCAGCTGGGTCTCAGGCGCAGCTGCTGAGGAGCCTTGTGGTTTCAGAGAAGTGCTCAGCCCCAAGAGACACAGAGAGGTGTGGTCTGGTCCTGCAGACCCACTGTCAACCAAAGAGATTCTGCTTCACCCCATGGCCCATAGAATGGGGTGCCCAACTCTGTCCCTCTGCATTTATGATCTTACTCCTGGGCTGGTCTGTCCTGGCTGAACACTGAAGTGAAGTCTGCATTTTCTGAGCCCACAATAGCGTGTTTCCTCTGCAGGCACTAGTGGGCTTAGGGCAATGCAGTGCCTAAGCCATATGTCCTTTGGGGAACATCAGAACCCAAACAAAAGTTCTCCTTTGCAAAACACACATAGTGTTTTAAGGAGCCATTGAAGGGCTGTTGTAGGTGTGCATCCTGAGGGCTGGCCATAGATGCTGTGCCTCTGTATCCCCAGGGTGCACTGAGTCCTGGGGTTTACCCAGCTTGAGCAGCGCTTGGCAATGACTGAGTGTAGCAGGAATGTGCTGGGTGGGGAGGCATGAAGACTTTCATCAGTGCTAGAGACAGAGACAAATACACCAGGACACAGTTCTGAGAGCCCCCGAGTCAGAATTTTATATCAGAGTCAAAGTCGATAGTGTAGAAAACCTGTGCCTTTTCTTTTCTTTCTCAGGTCCTGGTGAACAACCCTCCCTGTTAGAACTCCTGATGCCCAGATCCTCCCCATAGGCAGGTGGTTTGGCCATGTGATTTCTGCTGACCCCTGGTGGCCGCTCTCCTGGAGGTGCAGGGAAGCCCATTGTCCAGATGGGGATTCAGAACCCACTGTTTCTTTGATTGGTGGACTGCTGCCCCCAGGGAGGCATACTCTTCTCTGTTGGTCCCTGCCACTCTCAAGGCCAGACTACAGGAGACCGACTATCCTTGAAAATAGGAACTGGCCCATGTGAAGGAGAGGAGGCAGGACCCTTCTGAGGTATCACTACTGCTAACACTGGGGTGGTGGGTCATCATGGATATGGTTTTGGGCTGGAAAGTGGGGGACACAGGACTCAGGAACTCCTTCTTAGGGACCCTGGTGGCTGGTGCAGGTGTTAGGGGAGCTGACACAGGTGCAGTCAAAATCTGCATATAACTTTTGACTCCTCCAGAACCATAACTACTAATAGCCTTTATTGACCATAAACCTTACTGACGAAATACACAGTGGATTAACACATATTTTATATGTTATATGCATTATATATTGTATTCTCATAGCAAGTCCATAAGAAGATGTTGTGAAGAAGAAATTTAGGAAAATTAGGATCACTGGTGCTGGTGTGGAGTCCTTGCAGCCCCTGGACAGCCAGCCCCATGTGAGCCTCCAGTGAGGATTGGCATTGTGCTGACCCTGTGCACCATTCCTCAGCCAAGATAATCGATGGGCATATGGTTAATACATAAAGTAGCTGTGCATGTTCACCAACCTCCCCTAACAATGTGGCAAACAGACATGAACTGCACTCAGCTCCTTGACCCTCAAGCCCCCTCTGCTGAGTGGGGTTCATGGAGCCTGGCCTTCCCTTGTGACCAGTTGGAGAGGCAGCAGGTAGCAGGCAGGGAGTCATATGCAGATTGATGAGATCACCGCTGGCTCTCAGGTCAAATCCATAAGCACAGCAAGATCTGAGTGAACAGGGAGGACACCCAGCGCCTGTGGAAGGGGATGGAAGCCCAGCCCAAGGGGTGAAGCATGCTGGGAAATGCCATCAAATGGACCTTCACCAAGTTCTATGTTGACCAGAAGGCTCTGTGGTGACATGGTATGCCCCACAGAATGGTCCTGGTAATAAAGAAATATGTTCTCCATTCCCCATAGCTCTGCAGGTATACACCCCTCACCAGAGACCATGTCCCCCCAGAAGTTCCACAAGGTACACTTACTGTCTCCCTGAAAACTAGCCTTCTGCTCTGGGGTAGACCCTGGATCAGGCAGGCACCCTCTACGGGAGGATTGTCCCATCTGTCTGGCTGCTCAGCATCCTATTCCTGGCTGTTTCCTGGGAATAAAACATACAGATTTGGGGGAAAAGCATGAAAAAGAGAAAATACATTTACATTACTATCATGTAAACCCTTGTGAGTAACTGGCCTCGAGCAAGTCAGCCCATGTTGTTCAAGGCTCAGCTGTGTGCCTCTCCTGATGGCTCTGTCTGGAGAACCCTAACGAACACACCTCATTAGATATAACTCTTTGTTCTTCATGTTTTAGTTTATTGTTGTATCAAGGTTTACAGGACCAGTCTCCCTTCCCAAAGTCTACCTTCTTGTGATTTTTATATCACCTCACATAGAACAAGGACTGTTTAATATGTTCTTCTCACCCACCCCTGACTTTGGGCTACATGTTTTAGTTTATTGTTGTATCAAGGTTTACAGGACCAGTCTCCCTTCCCAAAGTCTACCTTCTTGTGATTTTTATATCACCTCACATAGAACAAGGACTGTTTAATATGTTCTTCTCACCCACCCCTGACTTTGGGCTA